TGGTATCACTACAGAAGTAGATTGCCCAACCTTCCTTCTGAGGAGTGGCTGGTGGGTTTGAACTGCCAGCCTCGAGGTCCTTAAGAAAAGAAAAAAATAAAAATAAACATAGGCCTGGCAAGCCACTTCTGAAAAATCACCCATTGAAACTAATGGAGCACAGTTGTACTCTGAAAAATACAGAATCACCATGAATTGGAACCAACTCTATGGTAACTGGTGGTAGAGGTGATGGTAGAGGTGGTGGCAGAGGTGGTGGCAGAGGACAGCTAAAGAAATCATGCAAAAGAATTTAACATAATTCCAAATGAGTAAGGGACTCATTCAGTAAGAGCATTCAGTCTCTGGATCTGATGGCATGTTCTAGGTCATTAAAATCTGAAATTCCAAAATGGCCATCAAACAGGGAGCAGTTTGAACAGCCAGTTTGAGCCTCAGTTTCTTCGTTTGTAAAATAGAGATGACTTTCATACTTAGTGCACTTGCTCCTGAAGCGAGTTGGGGAGATCAGGTGAGAAAATGCATGAATAGTCTGTGGACACTTAAAAGCTCCAGGGAAAAATATAAGTTGTTATGTGTTAGTATTACCACAATATGTTTTCTTTCTTTTTTTTTCTCAATTCAACTTCTGATATCAATTATAAAATAGGACTTTAGATATAGTTATCAAAATTCAGCAAAGAGAAAAATGAATTTACAGTCATTACAGAGAGCTGAATCAAATTTATTTCATTGTGTTTTTACATAAGAAGTAATAGAAATTTTGAATTTAATGAAAATGATATCAACAATGAGGGAACACTTACTTGTACAGTCAACTCAAAGGACTTGAATAATGTACAGCTTTGTCCTCTTCCTTGGAAATTTTCTCCAGAAAAAAGTCTGAAGGTTTGAAAATTTCTAAAATACAAGTTGAAATTTTGGATTTTCCCTGTCTTACAAGCACTGTAACAACCAATTTAGTTGCAGCTGATCTGAGTCCCGCTCCCCACTTTGCTGGTCATCTGGAGTCAGAATGATGAGAAGAGTGAGGGACAGAGATAGCTGTTCTGTCTCCTAGATGATCCCAGCTCTAGTGCCCTGATGTCAGACCTCTTGACTGAAGTCACTAAATATATGCCCAACCAGATTGTTGTTGTTGTCATGTGCCGTGGAGTCAGACCCAACTCATAGCCCCATAATCCCATTATCCTTCTTGCTCAGAAAGAAGGAAATCACGTTGGCACAAGTGGTGGAAAACTGTGTTACTGCACCTAATGTTTATAAATATTGTCAGAAAAGGTTGATTTTATTTCCTAACCTGTGAAAACTAATCTATTAAATAAGACCACTTCTCCAGTTCTAATTGAACTCTGCCACTATGAAAGATATGTGGATATTTTGATTTAGTTGTGAAAAGTTATTATGCAAGTAAAACAAATAAATGACTCTTTGGATTTACACTTTTTAAAAATTGGAATATAGAAGACTGTTTATAGAAGCTTTCATTCATATTGCCATTAACTAGCATCAACCCAAATGTTCATCAACAAGAATGGCTTAAAATAAATTTGGTATATTCACACAATATTACTGAGAAAATAAAAGGAACAAACTCCTCTACTAACTTACAAGAAAAATGAATCCCAAAAGTATCATTTTGAGCAAAAGAAGTCAGACACAAAAGATTGCTGGCTTATGATTTATTTATATGAGTTGAAGAACAGGTTACACTAATCCGTGATGATAGAAATTAATCAGTGGTTGCCTCTAGGGAGTGGGATCACATGGAAGGGGTTATGAGAGAATTTTCTGGGGTGATAGAAATGTTTTACATGTGTTTGGGACAGGCATATAAATTGTCAACCTCATCCAATTAGATATGAATGTACTCTATGCATTTTGCTGGATGCAAAAAATACCTCCATAAAAAAATGAGATCTAGCTGGGATGAGGAGCACAGTGGGAGGAGCGTCTGTGCTGGGAGTCAGACCACTGCATCCGCACCCATTTTTTGCGTGCGATTGACTCTGGTGCACAGATCACTGGTGCTCCCCACGTTTGTTTTCTCCTTCTTCATTCTGTAGTGAGTGGACCCAACAAATTTTTCTTAGCACATACTCAGATAGATAGCTCATTGGAAGAGAGAAACAAACATATCTAAAATCCTGGATATTGATATTTTCAAGAAAAATGAAACTCAGGATACACAAAACTTCCTCCAGAGGCATTGCTCATTGCAGGTGTCAGCAAAACCAAGTATTATAAAATTTATAAAGGCTTAATAGAAACACGTTTTTAATGCATCAAAAGTTCAGCAGGTTAGCCATGTGGAAATTCATTTTAAAAAGCAATTTATTTCTAGTGAATTAGCCCAAAACTCTAAGTACAGGGATATATGTGTGAACAAGCCCCATTCCTTACCTTTGAAGATTCCAAGGATGGTTTCATTCCTATTCACAGCTCCCAGGCATTCACTTTCAATGCTTCCCTCCACTCCCAGCCCCCACCTTTTACCTTCCAGAGAGAAATTAAAGCAGGGTTCACTCTCAGGGAAACAATGATGTTAAAGAAATGGTTCTTGAACTTGGCCCCAGACTTCCATGTCAAGGAAACTGAATCCAGAGAATTTAGTCACTGGCTGAGATTGCAGTCATTTAGTTGTAAAGCTGGGTTTCAGTCAGTCTGGTGCCAGAAACAAATCTCTTAACTACCTCACTCTGCCCAGGGACCTCACCCCGCAACAAGCCACCTCCAGCCAAACTCCCCAGGCCGACATTCCTTCTTTAATGACAGAATTTTGATGGTGATCAAGCAGCAATGTGCCTAGACACGGGGGGAATTGTGCCTGATTGATGTAGTTTCCTAAGCTGTCATAACACAATACTATAAAGTGGAGAGCTATGAAAAAAAAAATTTTTTTTCACAGTATTGGAGCTAGATGTTTGAATTCAGGGTGTCGTTAGGATACGCTCTCTCTGTTGAGACTTAGGAAAGACCCTTCCTTGTCTCCTTCATCTTCTGGGAGCCACAGGCATTTCATGGCATTCCTTGGATTGTAGAGGGCTCTTGACTTGCTGTCTTCCATCATGTGTCACTCTGTCTCTGGGTCTGTCTTCCTCTTTAATAAAATGCCACTGAAAAGGGATTAGAATTAGGATCCACCCTACCCCAGTGTGATTTCCTCATAATGTAATTGATAAAATCTCCAAAGAAAATCTCTATTTCCCCAAGAAAGGTCACAGTCATTGGTGCAGAGTTCTCAAACTCTCACTACCTTCCAGTTGTTTCCAACTCATAGCAATCCCTCCTTGTGTTCCGAGGCAGTATCTCTACGGAAGTAGATTGCCCAATCTTCCTTCCAAGGAGTGGTTAATTATAAATTAACCCATTTATATTTTTTGCTGTATATTAGGTGAGCTATTTTCACATCATGGTATGAATCAGAGCCTTTTCGTATTTGTCAGCATTTTGGAGAATGTTGAATATTAGACTACTGTGCTTCTCTTCTTCAGTAGTCTATAGTACAAAGTGCATAGTTTTAGGAAGACATAATTTATTTTTGCCTTCTGGTTAGCAATCAAATGCCTTAGATACTACACCACCAGAGCTCTCCGTGCAGCGGTTAGTGCTTCGAAAATATCTTTCTAGGGGACACAATTCAATCCACCAACACTGGTCTAAACCTTTAATATAATCCTAGTCCCCTTTGCCAATACTCACTTTCCACATAGGGGTAGACATGAGACCTTGTTCTAGCCAATAAAAATAAGAGGAATTGTGCTGGAGAGTTTCTGGGAAATATTTCCTAACATAAAAACAAAGACCCTTCTTTCCCCACGTAATGACCTACTATAGCCATCTTGTTGCCATGAGGGGACATACAAAGGAATTGAAGAGGCACCAACCCACTGCACCGGCATCACGGAATTCACAAACCAAACTTGGAACCCCTGACCGCCAATCTTCTTACTTGTTGAGTAAGCAATAAATGTCATTATGGCTTAAGCCAGAGGTCAACAACCTTTTTCTGTAAGGATTAAACAGTAAATAGTTTAGGTTTTGTAACCAATCATACAGTCTCTGTGGCAACTCCTCAAGTCGGCCACTGTACCATGAAAGCAACCATAGGCAACACGTAAAATAATGGGCATGGCTGTAGTTCATTAAACTTTATTTATGGACACTAAAATCTAAATTTCATATAACCTTTATGTGTCACAAAATATTATTCTGGTTTTTTAATATTTTTAAAAAATCATTTACAAATACAAAAGCCATTCTTAGCTCAGAAGCCAGACAAAACAGGTGGCAGGCTGGATTTGGCTTAAGCCATTTTTCATCAGGTTATTTTATATTTATAACTGAGTGTATTTCTCACTGCATTGCTCTCTTTACCTCAGTCATAGAAACAGGAGGGTTTTATAAAATTGATGAGATTAAAATATCAATGATTTTTAGTAGTTTCATTGTATTTCACCACCCAGAGACATTTGTTGCTCGCAACGCCCTTCATCCAAGAAATGAAGTTCCTACTGTGGAATTTCAAGAATTGGGATCAGACTAATGGGGCAGGGGCACCCACTGAAGTAGAGAAGCCTTTCTAGGGCTCCCTCAAGATCCTACCAGTAAGAAGACACCAAAGGGAACATGACACTCTGTCTCCAAATTTCACAATATTTCCACATACTACAGCATGCTAACACCAACAGGTGAAGTGAAAGAATCAAAGATCATACAGTTAGTAGACAACAGGGTGAGGGTCTAGTCTACGTGTCTGTCCCTAAAACTCTGCACTTTGTTCTATAGACTACTACAGAAAAGAGGGAAAGTAATCCAATATTCAACATTCTCCAAAATGCTGACAACTATAAGAGGGGTCTGATTCATACCATGGTGTCAAAATAGCTCAACAAATATACAACAAAAAATATAAACAGGTTAATTTTTTATGTTTTTTCATAGCTGGCCAAAATCAGATCACATATGTGATCACCTACTTCTTGGGTCTGATTTTATTTTCACATTTTATTTTCCTGATTCACTTTCTTGCCCCACAACCTTCTCATAGCATTTTTCACCTCTGCATTTCTGAGTGTGTAGATGATAGGGTTCAGCATGGGGGTGAAGACTGTGTAGAAAATGGCCACCAGCTTATCCGCAGTGAAAGTAGAAGAGGGTCTCATATAGAGGAACATGCAAGGTCCAAAGAACAAGGTGACTACCATGATGTGGGAGGCACAGGTGGAGAGAGCTTTGCGCCTCCCCTCTGCAGAATGGTTCCTCAAGTGGACCAAGATGACAATATAAGAGGACACCAAGATGACGAAGGATATGACAGAGATTGAGCCACTGTTAGCCAACACAATAACACCCTCCACAAAGGTGTCAATGCAGGCAACCTTGAATAGGGGATGGAGGTCACAAAAGTAGTAGTCAATTACATTGGGGCCACAGAAGGGCAATTGGATAGCGACAAGGATCTGAACCATGGAGTGAATTATGCCCCCCAGCCAGGAACCAGCCAGCAGAAGGTGACACGCAGTCTGGCTCATGATGGTTGTATAGTGCAGGGGTTTGCAGATGGCCACATAGCGGTCATAAGCCATCACTGTGAGTAGAAGAGTTTCTGTCACACCAAAGAAGTGGAAGAAGAATATCTGAACCAAACAGCCCTCCAGAGAGATGGTTTTAATCTTGGTGAGTAAGTCAGTGATGAACTTAGGGACAACAGTAGAGGAGTAAATTATCTCCACCAGGGAAAAGTAGCTAAGGAAGAAGTACATGGGGGAATGCAGACTCTTGCTGACTCTGACCGTCAACACGATGAGGCCATTGCCCACCACCGTGGCCAGGTACACTGGAAGAAACACCACAAAGCTTACTCTCTGCACCTCTGGATCCTGGAAAAGGCCGGTGATAATCAACTCAGTCACGTTATTTCTACTGGCCATGGATCCCATTCTGGCGCTAGATGCTAGAGATTGAGAGGTTTGCAATAAAACACTTGAACAAAAATTGTAATACCAATTCACCTCATTTATAACATTTTAACAACAAGAAGAAGAAAAACGGATGCTGCTGAGTCAATAAAGAGCCCTGGTGGTGCAATGATTAAGTGATCAGATACTTACTGCAAGGCTGTCAGTTAGAATCAATAAGCCACTCTGTAGGAGAAACATGTGTAGTCTGCTCCTATGAAGATTTGCAACCTTAGAGGCCCCATAGGGAAATTCTACTTGGTCCTATAGAATCACTATGAGTTGGAATCAACTCCATGGCAATGCTTTGGGTTTGTGTAGTTTGTTTTTCTTGGTTGAGTCAATTCCAACTTCATGTGTATTAGAGTAGTACTGGGATCCACAGGGTTTCCAGTAGCTGCCATTTTAGGAGTAGAACATCAGGACTTTCTTCCAAGGTGCCTCTGGGTGAACTTGACCAGCCAACCTCTCTATTGGCAGCCAAGTGTGTTCACCATTTGCACCACCAAGAAACTCCATCGTGGTCTTAGAAGAGAATACTCTTTTTATCCCAATTATTAGAGAAAATAGAACAATTTAATCACTCAGTCATTCATTTAGCTAATATGTGCTCATTCACCATTGAATATTAATAACCTAACAACAGTATACAGATAACAAAATTAAGAGAAATGATTATTACTCAAAATCACGCAGAGTGGTGAATTTATGAGACTCAGAACCAGGCTTTCTGACTATCAATCCAGGGTTCTTCCTAATACACCTCAGTAAATTCTGAATTTGGAGAACTATTCAAGTTAATAGCCTAGATTTTTATTATCTCATTGCATTTTGATAACTCTCCCCATTGGGGGAACCCCATTGGCAGACTGCTGTCCTTTGTTTCCTTCATTTGTACCTCAGGGAATCATCTTTCTGCTGATGGTTCTCCCTTTCTGAGAAGTCCTCTGTACTTTTTCCTTTACTCAATTATCCCAGTCCTCCATTTAGTCAGGCCATACACCTTCACTAGTCTTGCAGTGCCCACAACTGCGTTTATGTGACAAATATTGAAACACTCTGGGAAGAATTCAACTTAGAAGTTTGTCTCTATTGTTTTCCTATTACTTTCACTGCTGCCATCACTCTACTGAGAGATACTGACCTGAAACAGCTCGTTTTCAGAGATGATTGTTAGGGCTGGCCAGCCTGCTTGTTGTGGTTGTATGTAACTAGAAGAACAGTATATAATAACAAGAGGGAGGATTGCTCTGTGTTACTTCACTGCAACAAATGCTGAGAACATCTGGTATATCTGAACAACCCTACTTTGTACAGGGAAAATATGCACCTCAAGTTAGCAATATCTTATAAATCAAAACAATATCCTATAGGATTAAGATTTAGGTATTTCTCTCAATATTATGAGCCATAAGAAATACAGAAGAAGTATGAACACCTTGATTCTCTTCTATCATTTTTATTCCCATGGTTTTTTGTCTTGTCTCTGATTGTATACTGAATTTTTGAGGAAATCTGTGGTTGTTAGGTACCATCGAGTCATCTCTGACCCAGAGCAACCCCATGAAGAAATCTAATAATATTGAAGAACTAAAAAATGCACTCTGAACAACAACAAAGGGACTCAACATACAAAACAAAAGTCTTGGATGTGGACAGATGGAAACAAAATATAAATAAAATTGTTACACAAATGACACAATGGGAACAGTACTTAAAGCATTTCTGACGCCTTAGTTCTCTAGTGCTGCTATAACAGAAACACCACAAGGGGATAGCTTATACTCTTACAGTTTAGGATAGGCTAGAAGCCTGAGTTCACAGTGCTGGCTCTAGTAGAAAACTAGGCTAGATGTCCAAATTCTGAGTGCTGGCTCTATGGGTTGGGTGGAGGCCCCTCAACCTTTGGCTTCAGCTCTGCCTCTTGTTCCAGGCCAACTGGAGCAATCTGGAGGCTTCTCCTAACTCACGTTGCCAGAGACAAGACAACTGCTGAGGCTGACAAACCCAAGATTGGAAGATAAAAAAGCACAATCCCAAGAAACGCAGGGACACCAGAGTAGCAGGCCGGAAGAGCAGGGAAGGGGATAAAAGCCTTGAGCCCCAGGCTTACAGGTGAGGAGAGACAATGCAGGGACACCAGAGTAGCAGGCCTGAAGAGCAGGGAAGGGGATAAAAGCCTTGAACCCGGACAGAAGAGCAATCAGC